CCCACGGCTGCGCCGAGCGGCCTCACGCGTGTGCCGAGTGCGGGAAGCGGTTCCGGCAGAAGGTGAACCTGGCCGTGCACCTGCGCACGCACACGGGGGAGCGCCCGTTCCGCTGCGCCGACTGCGGCAAGGGCTTCAGCCAGAAGGCTCATCTGCTGCGGCACCGCCGCACCCACGGCGCTGGCCTCGTGCCCGCCTGCTCCGCCGGGGACCCCCTGGGCAAGGGCCTGGAGCCCCCAGCCCTGCTGCTGCCCCCCTGCTCCCGCGGGGCCCCCCCGGCCCGGCCCGACAGCCCCTCGGGTGCCGCCGACATCCTCCTGCAGCTCATGCAGGACGAGCACCCCCCGGGCCCCGGAGCCCCCCCGGTGCCCCTGTGCAAGTGCCCGGGGGAGGGTCTGGGCCCCAGGGCGCCGGGGCTGCCCCCCCCTTGCTGCTGTGCCGCCTGCCTGGCCCCCCGCCCTCCCGAGCCCCCCCGGGGGCAGCTGTGGGCCAAGGCTGGGGGCTGCACTCGGGCCTTTGAGGAGAAGCAAGTGCCGGGAGTGCCAGGAGCGGCGGGAGTGCCAGGAGCGGCGGGAGCACCAGAGCAGGAGCGCGTCGAGGAGAAACCTGCCCCGTGTCCCAGCTGTCTGTAACCCCCTGGGACCTGCACAGGGATGTGCACCGGGATGCACGCCGGGGCCCCTGCCAGGACCCCCACCCCTGCCCCCTCACTTGGACCCTCACCGGAACCTTCCCTGGCTGCCTGTGACCCACAGCAGGACCTGCACTGGGACCTGCCCTGGCTGCCTGGGACCCCCCTGCACCAGGACCCCCACGGGCAAGGGTCAGCCCTCAGCTCTCGCACTCACCCACACCGGACCCTGATGAGGACGGAGCCGAGGGGTCGGAGCCAGGGTGATGCCTCTGGCTGGACACAGCACTGGGACTTGGAGGGGCCAAAACAGAGCCAGACTGGGACATGGCACGTTTCTGGCTCGGGAGGACACCAAAGGACTGGAGGGGGTAGCACCAGACCTAGATCTGCCACATTGGCTCCAACCACATAGACTGGGAAGAGCTGGATCCAGTGGCTTAAAAGTTGCGTCCACTGGAGGCAGCCATGGGACGAGAGGGCTCCCACTGCTTCCAGAACCTTCCAGGCTGTTCCAGGCTGGATGGCATTCCACAAGGACATGGTCAGGATGGAAGAGCCAAGCCCTGCCACTGCAGGAGTCCTGAGGCCCTTTTTCCTGTTGGGTGACCTGGGAACCCCAGTCCAGCTCACACAGAAGAGCTGGGAGAGCACTGGGAAAACAGCCAGGAAAAAGGCCTGGAAAAGGTCAGCTCTGCTTCCAGAAGGGACCTGGAGATGCCTCCGGTCCGGGGGGGGTGGGGGGGGGCGGGGGGGCAGCTTGTGCTTCTGCTTGCTCTGGATAACTGCGCTTTGGGACTTGATATTGGTGGGGGCTGGGAGGGCTTCCAGGGCCGCGGGGGGCATGGGATGCTTGTTGGGCTTTGCTTGGCATCTCTGTGTCCACCCTGCTGTGACAGAGCCAGTAGGCAGGGGGCTGCAGCTTCGGGCAGAGCTTCGGCCACGGGCACTGGGATCTGCCATTGCTTCATCCCAAAGGGAATAGGATCTTCTGAGGGGACCAACACGGGGACAGCCACCGCTGGAGCCCCAGCCGGGTGAGGGTCCCGCCCCAACTCTCTTCTTCCCCCCAGCTCCGCTCTCTGCAATTCTATTTTTTGAGGTTATTTAAAATAAAAGCTTCTGATGGCTCCAGCGGCTCCAGGTGCTCTGTCCAGGAATGGGGGGACACGGGTCTCCCTGGAGCCTCAATCCCAGCCTGGATCCGTGCCAGCAGCAGCCCCAGGACCATCACTGTGACCAAGGGGCCACTGGGACAGTGACGGTGCTGGGACCCTCCAGCGTGCTCTGTGGCCACCAAACCTCCCCTGGATACCAGGTGGGAGCTCAGGCCACCAAACCTCCCCTGGATACCAGGTGGGAGCTCAGGGCCCAAGCCCGGGGTCACTGTCACATCTGCTGGGATGGCACTGAACCCCCCCGTGCTCCTGGAGACCAGCAGACTGGGGGTCTCGCACCGAGGGCTGTCACTGGGGGGACACACTGGGACACAGACAACCCCTGTCCCGGCTGGGGGCACTTGGTGTCATCCCGGGTGGGTTCTGGGAGGTTTGGCCACATGGGCTGCAGGGGGGCTTTGGTTGTTCCTGTCCTGGTGTGGGACTCCAGTGGGGGACCGTCGGGTGTGGGGGCTCCCAGACTCCCGGAGTAGCCGGGCTGGTTCCTCGCGATTTGGAGGGTGTGGAGGGTGGTCTTGGAGAGGAGGGGGAGTGTCCC